AATAGTGTATGATTATTTTCCTTAATAGTTGATTGTATAATTATTATGCAGTCTTTTCTTTTAGAGTTATTTATAGCCCTATAAATAGAGTCTTTTACTTTATAATAAAAACAAGTTTATTATATACAATTTATAAGATTCTTCACAGGCATAAATCAATATTAACAATAAATTTAATGAGCATAACATGGAGAGGTTTTAGGAAGTTATATGCTGACAAGCTACCTTCTAAATGATATTATAGAAAGGTTATGTACACTAATAATCTTTCATCCACCACTCAAACAGCAAATTAGCAAGCTTGTATGAGTCATCTGTTTCTAATATCGATAGCTGTCCACAATGGAACCACACCTCAGCAGAAACATACAGGACAGATTTAATACAAGACTTTGATTGGAAGCCAATCATTAATAAGCGTAAATTACACATTTCGTCGGTTTTGAAGTAAGGAGGCTAGTAAAAGGAAAAAAAAAATGTCATTTTTAACCTGACCTTCAAGATATTTCAAAAAGAAAATAAAATCCTCACTTAAAAAATGCATAGTTGATAAACTTTTAAGAAGGCTATTTTGACAAAATCCTAAGAAGAATGCCATTTTTTATTACTTTTTAATGAAAGCACCTAAATGAAAAGGCATACTTAATTGTCCAATTATGACACTGTAAAGTGTTAGAAAACAAATATAGAAGAAATAAATGGTCATATTTAATATAAAAATTGAGAAACAATTAGATTTCGTACTTAACAGGAAAAAGAAATCCTATCATAAACTAAAGTGGCATGTCCCTATCATGTGGTAGAAAAGAGGTTCCAAATTTCTTATTTTACAAAGCTCGGATCCTAGTCATGTTTCAGAACTGCAGAAGTAGAACATCTAAAAGCAACTCAACAACCTTACCTGTGCCTTCTGTAGAGGAGAAACTCGACAGCAAACTACTGAACTGCAATTCAAGCTCATATTTAGCAGCATTACTCGTAGACTAGGGTCCAATGCATACATCAAACACTTCCCATCGATCACGAGAGCCAACTTTGGACCAGATGCAGAACGAAGATACTGTTGCACCTCCTCGTAACACCTTTTCAGCTCATTCTTCACAGTTTCTTTCATAAATCGGGCAAGCTCCACTTGATCACCCTGACAATTATTTTTCAGGAAACAGCAAGGTTACTTTGCTTTATATTTTCCATGAAAAATACATCGAAGTAAGATATATACTTACTCTGTCTTCAACTTCTCTAATAGCATCAGTTTCTGAGCTGACTATAAATTGCTTCATGTTGTTACTAATCAACTTGCATGCTGAAATATACAAAAATCAGATGTAACAGAAAATGTTGCACCAGTAATAGAGTATGTTAAAAAATTAAATCATCAGCTCTTTCTAGATACTAACCGTAAGCTATATTTATTGCTGTTTCCAGCTTGTCCCCAGTCAGCACCCAAATCTTGATTCCAGCTCGAGAGAGGGTCTCTATACAAGCAGGTACTCCCTCCTGAAGCTTATCTTCTATAGCAGTACATCCAATCAAAACAAGGTCCTTCTCAATGAGCTCCGCAATCTGAATTAGTTTCGCATGTTAAAACTTGTAGAAGTCTATTACATACAGTAACACAAAAAATAAGAGACAAGATGCACGCTAATGGAACAATAAAAGGTTCACTAGAACTTAAATAGCCTGCTGGTCCCTTGCTTAATGGTGATGTAAGGAAAAACAAAGATTGTATTCGATGAAAAGTCAATGGGGAGAAAATAGTGGATACTTGAAAGGGAATTAATGGATGAGAAAGTAAAATAATATTTTTTACTCATAAATCACACCAAAATTTGTCCGTTGATTTAAAAGACTGCTCCATACCTTCAAAACAGATCCTGCTTTTATTTCTTTGCTATAACTGCTTTCAAGTTACTCATTCTCATGTATTTAAGGAATATGATGAAAGTTTAATTATTTGAATTGCCAGTGCTGTTGATCCTTTCTTATATCCTGTGACATCTATTTAGAAAATGGTCATAACTACAACTCAACACAGACTTATTGCAGATTATTGTTTGTGTTCCCTTGTCCTTAAATTATAAGTCGCCTATTCAGAGACCCCACGAATTCTGACATTTGAAATGAAACTGTTGGCCACATCATAAAAGAGGTCAGACAGTCACTTTCTGATGTGCTGAATACCATTTTTGCCCCTCCAATTAACCAGAAATTACAACCAACCCATACAAGAATGAGAAATCAGTTTAGGGGTACTTTTGTAATTTGGATTGCTCCACGCCATTAAACAATTCAACAAATTTCAAAATTTGACTTCTCTACCCCCAGTTGGTCGACAATTTCAATTCAAATGTCAAAATGTGGGTCACCAAATGAGTGACTTATAATTTAAGGGGGAAATAAGGGAACCAAAACAATCACTTAATGTTCAATCGGCCAGAGGGTTCATATCGAGAATAAATAAATTTGTTCTTACAACAAAGAGGAACAATACACTATAACTCCATGCACGAATGGCGGAAAAGTGGGCAAGAAAATGATAATTGTTCAGATCACAATGTGCAGTAACTATAGTCTAGCTGGTAAATTTTCAACAAATAAAATTTTCTAGCTGGTAACTTCGCTGCATTTCCGGTGCATTCATTTCGGCGTGGAATTAATAGGATCTATAATTGGAATGCCCCTAATTAAAATTTTATAATGGAATTAATAGGGTTGCTATCTATAATAATAAACAGATAAGAGAGAGAGACAGGAAGTCACAGGGCATAACACGCAATAATTTGAGATAAGCGTGCATCGAAAACAAAAGAGCTCGAAAATCAAACAAATAAAAGAGAAAACCGTACAAACCTCATCCAATTTCTTCTCCCTATCCCGTAATGAAGATTTTGCCTGAATGTATTTCTCGTTCCAATTTTCATATGAATCAGAACTTAAATCTCTATAAGCCAGGCAAAGAGTACGCAATCCAGCAGCTCCAAATTGTTCCAAGTGTTCCCTAGTTGTTCTTTTCAAATCTCTGTCTCCATCTGCCAACCTTTCATATATTACAGTATCTGCACCCTGAAAAAGTATATTATGGACTTCAACTTTATTTCTTGCTGAAAAATTTCAACCAGAGAGTGGGCAGCCTTATGAAGTTACCTTGCAGTAGAGGACAAGTTTACCATCTGGATAGCGACATACCACAGACTGGCGCTTCCTTGTACTAAACACAGGCAGAAAAATTGCACCAGTCTCAAATATAATTATCATGCATGAAAACACAATTTGCATTTAAGTCAGGATATATAATTACCTGTTGAACTCAAGGACATTCAGAATCTCATACGGAACATCCTGAACCTTTCCTATCTTCTCAACATGTGACTCGCGAACATAAATAGTTGTTGGAGAACGCCTGCACACAAGGCATTTTAAGTTTAGCCTCCTCAAGTACTAATACCTATAAACCAGTAAGAAAGGATGTAAGAACCACGCACTTGTAGAAAAAGAAGCCAAAGTTCTTCGCCGCTGTAACCAAAGCAGCTTCATCAGGAGATGCTGCTTGATATTTAATTTTTTCAGGGGAATCATCACCTTCAGGAAGTACAGTATGACATATTGCAAGGCACCTGAAGAATTCCTATATGATAACAAAAGATTTTTAAAGATCACTCAGTGTTGAACACATGATTGAATGGATAGAAACAGCATGGCACAATAAACAATTTTGTGAAAATTCTGCACAAGACATGCTAATTGAACCCAAAATGGTAATATGGTATAAAGGAAAAAGAAGAAAAATAAATAAATTTGCTTTCAGCTAAATGAAGAAAGATAAGCGTATATTTCAACCCGTCTTTGTTCAACATTATTTCTATACTAAAATATACATAAACAAGAAGGATTAGTTATATTTCAAATTCGAGCCACTAAAATAATATCTTGAAAATAAAGTATTGGAGTACAACTAAGTACATCATAATTGCAGAAAATTAGTAGAGATTGCAGGCCATAACTAAAATATCGAAGGTTAGTTGGGTGAAATTCAAAAGTACAGTTTTGGCTTGTGTGATCAATGAATTTAATCCTATTAAATTACAAAGGAAAATTTTATATAACTAGCATACAACCATATTTGATGTTATAAAGGACGGAATGATTGGATATTAAGAAATAGCTAAATAAATTAAACTAAGACGAGAATCTTAGGATAGGTTTGCAGTAAAATAAGGAGAGAACAAAAAATGAGGATAATCTTGAATGAGTTAAAGTTGATGTAAAATTAACAGTAATAAAAAATCTAGAGGAAGATGTCAACCTAAGTTCCTAAAATCAGTAATGATTAGCACTAATATCAATCAGTCAACCATTCCAGCAGGCAGGGCAAGCAGCATCATGTACAGTTATGTCAGACAATAGCATAACTAAATATTGCTGAGAGTGCAGTGCAATTTTTCATGTTCCTCTCCTCAGTAAACAATCTACCTTGCAAAAATCAGGATTAGGTTCATTCCGCCAAGCACCCCGCATAAGCCGTGCATCAACAAAATTGAAACCTTTTTCAAGTGCTGCATTTGTTGCCTTCTGAACCTATGGAAGTTTGAAGGCACCAGATCAAACATAAATATTTCTCGTGGTATTTTCTTTCTCTGACGGCAGATAAGTTTACCTCAATTTTTCCTCCAGTCCTCTGAGCTGTTCCCATCTCTATTTCGCTGACACCAGTACCATATACCTCTCCTCCAATTGAACATTTAAAAAATTCCATCAAATTTCTGGTCAGAGTTCCGGTTTTATCTGAAAATATGTACTCAACCTGGCAAAAGCACAAACTAAAATGAACTGATCCACATATGGATGTAATTAAGTACCACCATTTAGTTCATAAACTTGTATAATCGAATCCCCAGTTAGATGTTTGAGATTAAGCAAATGTTCTGTAGAGTAAAATTGCTCCCACACACCTGAACCCAACACCCCTTCCCTGAAAAAAACCAAGTTGAACAGGCAAAATTTTACCTGCCCAAGTTCCTCATTTAAATTAGATGTTCGTGCCAATGCAGGGGTATTGCTCTCAGCATGGTACATGCACAAGTCATTGTTGATAAACTGAGTGGACTGAATAAATTTGATCATCTGAAATAAACAAGAAACCAAGTCACAGAACCATGACCAAACACAGCTTCAGTAAAATTGAAATAAGTCTACGACAATGAGATTTACCTCAACAGAAACATAAAGAGAGATGGGAATGATTGGAGAATAGAGAGTAATCAGAGTAAACATAGTCAAAACAGCAACCTACAAGACAAAAAAAAATAAAAATAAAATGAAAATATGTAAATGTGTAAAATTAGAAATAATAGAAAATAATAATTCTCTTTACCACAAATCTATTGTCAGGATCAAACTGTTTCTCTGAACTGTCAAACCTCAAATAGTAGTACTTCCGATTTATGAATATTCCACTGCAAAAATACCAAGAAAAAAAAGTAAATAACATTAAACATCAGTAAACTGTAAGAACAAAAACATATAGATGAACCATGGTTGCAGAAATTATATAACCAAACCTGCCTATGGCACCCAACAGACACATGCAGAAGAGAACACTGAACAGAGTTAATATAAGCTTGTCAAGTTTCTTCTCCAAGGTACTTCTCTTGGATGGAATTTTCATTGAATTCATCATAACCTGCAATCATAACACAACCACTACTGAGTACAGCACACAACAAATATGTCATGAAGGAGATTAAAGACAGAACACATACCACTGAGATAAAGACAAAGCAGACAGATTAACAATATAACATCGCAAACAAATCATACACTGACTCATCAATTGAACTCGGAAAAAATGTATAGTATTTCTGGAATTTCCTTTGACAAAAAAGATTACTCCACAGATCCTTTGTGGGGAAAGTGTCACACAATTCAATTGCATAACTTCTAAAAAAAGAAAAATACAAAACTTGAATGATCTAACACGAGGTACCTTAGTTTCATGTCCCGTGAAAATGACAACTCCAACGATGTGCTCAGTGTTCCTGAGAGTGCACCCCTGAAAAATGTAAAGAAACAGCCACTAAACAATTATGAAATACAACAAGACAATGAACCAACCATAAATCATTACTTATGATGAAAAATAATAGATAAGATAATATACAAATGGTTCTCAGTTTGAGCATCTATCAACAAAAAATATATGATATAATCATTATTGAATTCTTATTAGAAAATTATAAACTAACAAAAGTGAACATCACAAGCAGCTTTAGTAGATAGTCGAGAAACAAAAAAATACATCAGCAATTACAAAAAGTAGGTCCAACATAGTTCCTTAGAAAACAAACCCAACATACAACCAGATTATGCAAACGAAGAAGTTGTTGGTGTTATGAGATGACATACCCGTAATAGAAGTTGATTTGGACTCAGAGGCAAGGTTTGCTTTTGAATAATCAAGTTGCCAGTAAAGGTGTACAGTGAATTATTTGGTTGCTCACATTGTACCTCTCCTGAATTTTACAGGTGAATTTTCATCAGAAAAAAAATTACCAAGCAAGAAAAGTTGGTTTGATTCAAATCCCCATCATTAATTACAACAAGAGAATCATACAGATTTTGTTACTAAGCTACTCCTCTAAAAAGTTGTGTTTGCCCTCAAAATCATGCTTTAGCAATTTATTGTGCCCAAGACCCAACTAATGATCCATGTTGACACATATATTCATATGAACTCGATCCCCATTAAACTAGTCATCTACTGATTTTAAAGCTACTAATAAAAATTAATACAACTGTTGCAGTAAATAGTTAAATATTATGGGTAATGGACCCTCCAATTTATAGTTTATTGAATGTTAGACCCCTAGGTTCTGTTGCAAAATAATTCAATGACCAACTTCTGCCCAAATAAGAGAGTCTTAAGCAATAGGTGAATCTTTCCATATCCACACTTCGCTTTTCGTTGAGGTTGAGTTTTACTCTAAACAGTGTTCAACAAGCTAATATCTAATTATATTTCAGGATGAGATTCATTACGGATATCAAAATTGATAAAATTAAGAACCAGCATTCAATAACATTTTCATCGCAAAGCCCTTTTATAGTATTTATTAATAGAACGAACATCTTAATACAGTTTAATGCATCTACTTCTAATTTTAATTATGTAATGATACATCTATATGAGTTCATATAATATTATAAAAGACCAACATAGCTTAATACAGTTTAATGCATCTACTTCTAATGTTAATTATGTAATGATACATCTATATGAGTTCATATCATATTATAAAAGACCAGCATAGCTTGCATGCAAGAGTTTAAATCGGTCACAAGGGAAAGTAAAATAACTTTGAAACAACAACAAAGTAAGACTTCCCAATAAATTTGAGGTAAGCTACATGGATCCCTCTTCGCCATTTCACCCTGTTTATTGTTTGATTTACTAGGAGAAGAAAAACAATTAGATCCTTAGCAACAATAATAACCATATTAATTTTGGTCTACCCCTTTCTTCTAATTTGCCCTATTGAAACCACATCACAATTATCATCAGGAGCCCCTTTAGGTCAATTGAAGTTGCATAAAGTGATTTTATCACCTAAGTCATCCTTCCCTTTATTTATCTTTAATCAGTGCAATTGCCACTTCTTGGCGTATGTTCCCATTTTTTATCTTATCCATTATAGTGTGACGTCACATCCATCTTAGCATCTAATTTTCAGTACATTACTCTCATGGATGTTTTGTCCTTAAGAGCCGTTACTCAGAACCGTCAAGTATAGCTGGTCTAATCACTATTCTATAGAACTCGCCTTTTTTACTGTTATGCTATCTTCCTTCACAAAGAATTGTGTAGCATTTCTCTATTTCACACAACCTGCTCTCATGCAATATAAAATAATTGTTTTTAGTTTTTCACCAACCCCATTTTTCATGTAAATACCATAATGAATTAGGTAAGATTTTCTATAAGTAAAACTTCATAAAGGTGGAATAAATAATTTTGACATTTTTTATCAATGAGACCTTGCTTTCCATACTCAGAATGGTGTATGAAAGAGAATGAAAGAAGTGTAATGCGAGAGTTATTTTTCATTCCACGAGTTGCTATAAAAACAGATAAGTAGTTGGATTCACAAAAGTACATCACCTTAATAATCATTATCTGCAATAATTGCAATAATTCATGATTAGAGATACCAATATAAAGAAATGGCGTGTAAACAAGTACTACAACAGAGACTCAACCTTTAAATTCAGATATTTTCTCCGGTGTCAAATAATCCCAAGTCTTTTCTAATGCTTTTCTAATCTTCAAATTTGTTTCACCATCCAGATTTGCAGTCTGCAACCCAACAAAACACAACCAGTGAGTGGTATGCAGAAGAAAACTGGAAGGGAAAATAAAAAGGCAGTAGTTCTCCAGCTTGCTTCCTGTTCTCCAAACAAATTCAAACCATCTTATAAAAGAGGGAATAGAGGAAAATTGTTCAGAAACAGGAGTGAAAACCTCTATGTAGCAAACACCGTCCATATTTGTGCTAGCTAGGAATAATAGATCAGCTGGAAAGAATCCATCCTGCCTAACCTGCAACCAGTACAAAGTCAATTATCTAAATTTTGGGAAAAGATCATCCAAAATGGAAGCTCAGATTACATATTAGCCTTATTCAGGCTGCACGTAGAATGCATGCAGAATGCAGCATAGACATATTCGGCAGCAAGGAAAATTAAATTTTAAACCACAGCTTCGATGTCAATATCTAAGCAAGCCCCCCATATCCCAGCATCTGTGATCGGCTAAATGTTGGAATGCCAGTTTCATGATTAGCAGGTATCAAGAAAAAATATATTCAATTCGAAGGTGAGAATCAATAAAAATTTATTACTTAATGGTAGGTTTAAATATTTGTCAATAGCTATGGTTACAAGTAGCATAGTCAAAAACTCTCCTTCTCCATAACATAGGTACATCTGTATAAATAGAGTTACAGCAGAAGAATATAAGGAAAGAACAAAATATAAGGAAAGAATAAAAAATGCTAACTTCTAAGGAAACTAAATATCCTAGGATATTCACACATTTACAGCCGAGATTCTCTTAGAGAAATAGGAAACTTTCCAACAGTAAAAATAAGAAATAACAAGAAAAGGAACGGCAGAAAAGGCCTGCCGTTCATTGACATCCAACACATTTCTTTCAAAACCTACATAAGCTTGTTTAATCACATGATTCACTATTAGGCAAAGTCAGATTCATAGAAAAGCAAATAAACAAGACTAACTCAAGTGACACTTGCAATAGACAACTGAAAGACTGGAGTCATAATTATAAACCACCAAGGGCAAAAACAAGTAGCCAGGTAACGGCTGAAAACTCACACCAAGAGAATTGAAGTGATGAAATGAAGCTTTAAAACAAGCAAAAGCAGTAGTTCCACCACAAAACAGGTGAAGAAAAGTGAAATAGCAGAATAAAAGTAACAGAAACAGTCAACTTACTCTAATAATGTCTCCAACCTGCAGCCTCTTCCAAGGAGTACACACCCACTTCTGATCTTGAAACACGTCTACAGTAGAATTATTGATTGCCATGTCATTTTGAAAACGCTTCTGCCATACATAATAAGAAAAGAGAATAACGTACAAGAAAAAGTGTAAGCAACCTGCATCCCAAAACTTGGAGACCTCAAGTTAACAAAGATATAATTCCGTACTGTAAATCAAACAAAATGACAACGGCTGAAACCTAGAGTGAAAGAGAGAGAAAAAAGTGATCCGAATCACTCACCCAGTCTTCCCATGCTTCCTTAATGAGAGATACAAGAAGCACCAGGGACAGAGGAAGCACATTTGTTATCGGACTTACAGGACTGCATGAAAACAGAACTATCTTAGGTAAAAATGTACTCAGAAAAGGAAAGATGGGGGGATAGGATATCTAATCCAATTAATTAATTCCGAAGTAACTCCAGCAAGAACATATACAAGACAATGTACCTATATATAACCTAAAAGCAAAGCAAAAGCTCTTCTTTTCAATTATCCACAAGAACCAAACTGAAGCTACCAATTAAGCATTAACTCTAGAGACAATACCTGAAGCATGAATTTATCTGCGTCTACAGATAATAGACTTTATAATCTGGACAATCAGCATGAAAGCAGAAACCACATTGAACATGAAAAAACACTACATCCAAAAGACTTCAACCAAACTTAAAGCCACGAAAACGCCAGATCATTCCATTGTGTTTGCACAATATTAATGAAAAAATCCCCACATCTACCTAGAAAAAGGAGTGATTAATCCATAGCTCTCTTATCATTCCCCATCCCCATTTTTCTTGTCCTTAATACATAAAAATTTACCATACAACTCTATGGTGCCATCGATGTAATTACCCTATCACTTTCTAGTATGTATTTTCCATTCAATGAACTTAATATCACAAATTCGAACAGACAATTGTCAAGAAATTAAGATTATGCCAATTATGTTTTCTTTCTCCTCAATGAGCTAATTTACCTCACTGGAGTGCACGACAAGATTGAGATCATGAGAAAATAGAGGTTAGCCACCCGCCTGAACTGTCAACATATATACAAACAATAAAGGATTATCAGGTAAATCAAAAAGAAATAAAAGGGTGAAAAAAGCTAAATGAGAAGACAAGTAAAAATCATACTATATATACCTTTCTTATTCTAACTACACTCGTTCATTATGCAGAGCATAGAAACAAACTTAACTCCAAACTACCTACTACAATGCCCTAGAGGCTTCCAATTGTTGAGAATTCTGTTAGAAACTTAATTTTAAACGTCATAAACAACTATACATGGAGAAAAATAATTTATCTAACTTCCACCAAGCGTAAAGGGCGGGAAAGCTTTAAGAAGATCCATTCTTTTTCTCTTCTCTTCCACGAATAGAAACACGTAAAATTCTTTATTTCATCTTGTTTTCCTAATACATTACCTGCATGTTTGGGAAGTGATTAAATTTAAATTTAAGAGATTATACAAATACGAACACGCGACATGAACATTCCAACAAGTGAGACGGACACATGGGGACACGTTAATTTAAATCTTCAAAATATAAATATATGTATTATGTCTTTATGTTTGAACATTTTATGTTTAATAAAACAATAGACTCAGGTCGAACACGGACATGCCCGGCAAATGGGAGTGTCCATGTATCATATTTATTATAAGTTGTGGATCATGTGGAATGTATTGAAAATAAGAGGGTAGTAGCTGTAGTTCTTACAAAATGTGCGGATTAAACATATGTTTATTAACTTAGATTTTAATTTAATACTTCCCATGGCAAAGAGAGGCAGCTCAGCTGGGAAGGAATGAGAAATTGTCAAGGATGACTTCTTTGTTGGCAAAACTTGTCAAGATAGATGACATCACCTTTTTTCCCTCTTCCTTACACATCCCGCCAAACATGCACTAAGTTACAAATTTCAATATAAAACAAGTCACAAGTTCCTAATATTAAGATAAAAATAATTATTTTTCCAACATTTCCTTTGATAGGTCAAAAAATATTCTTAATTTGTTAAGGACTTCGAGTTTCCAAAGAACTGAATTTCCAGCACTCATCCCTGTAATCCAATACTGCAGTCTGAATGCATTATCCAATAACAGAAAAGTGATGATATCTAAGCCAACAGAAAAATAAACAAAAAGAACTCCACCCAAAAGAAAGGATACTTCATGTTGAATTCATAGTAACACACGTAAATTTACCGAGAGTTGAAGTTCAACAGCAGATTATTAACACTTTCACACAGATAGAGTAACAAAAAGTTACCTGTTCAAATAACCCCTTGGGTAAAAATGTCAACACGTCATACTTCGTTGTTGACACAGAATTGCCCTGAAAGCTTATTAGGAGATCAATCAAGACCCAGTTCGGCTAAATGAGTAAAAGTTGTTTGGCAGAAAATTAGCAAAACGACAAGTCTACATGGTTGAACTTTTAACAAGAAGTATTCTCAAAAGCACAGCATGAAGCCATCCCAGAGTCATAACACATGGTCGAAAAGAAATATTTCTGGAGTGTATATAACACCATCATCTTTCTTGAAAAGAAAATGGAAAATCGTCTTGTGCTTTATTTAGATCGAGTGTCTCTTGTTCACTCTCTCAACTCAGTGTATAGCTCACTCTCGTGCTCAAACATTTACTTCTACATTCTCATTCACAGTTGAAACAAAAAACAACGCCCACTATGGCAACTCAATTGCATTAATCCCAGGATCTATTTTTTTCATATTTCAATTATCTTCTTATAACTTTTCTTTAAAACTTCATGCTATAGAAATTAAATCTCTCCTTTCTGTTTTGTATTTTGCATTAGCCATTGTTATTGCAGTTCATCTTTTATTTTCTTCTCCATTTTAAGAATGTCTTATGTGGCCAATGAGACATCACCACTTGCATTCATCTAAATCATGATATTACTTCATCACTTTCATCTGTCTCCTGTGAAGAGGAAAATTGAATATTATTACTACTTATTCACGCGTAGCTATAAAATCTTCCTTTGTAATCCTCAGAGCCTTTTTCTTAATTATTATGTTCATGCCCTTTGGGTTTCTACTGTGATTAGGTTTAATTGCTTCATTATGCTGTTTGTTTCATCATTTTTTTTCCTAGATAGATGCCACAATACTTGAGTTGTTTCTGAAAATATTATGATCAACAAGGTAAAACATTCTTTATTTTTCTTTGGAGTTCAACAATTGCAAGCTTTAATACAACATTTGAATTGAAAACCTTGAATAAAAATTAACATTTGAATGCATGGACCCACATTTCATAACACTCGCTAACCATCAAATAGTGTCCTCAGTCAGTACACATTTACTGAAGGAAACTAGAAACCACATTACTCGAATCCAAAATTAAAATCATGTTTATTCTGATAATCAAAATTCCTGTAAATTCTACGTTGCGAACTCAACCCTTCTCCCAGGCCTAACATTTAGCATCCAAGTTCTTAACTGTACATTAATCTGACTAGAATCTGAAATGCAAGCATCTTAATTCTTAAACCAATAAAATATCTTTAAACAATTGAAAAACTAAAACGGAAACGGAACGTAACAATACAAAACCATTAACAGGATGTCTAATAACATTATCAGCTTATTATCCGAAAAAACTTAAAACCTTAGATAAACCCCCCAAAAAAAATATTTCAACCCCCACCCAAAATACATTAAATTCAAGTACAAAATGCACATAACCACTGCCCGTCCATTGCGTTGCTTAACACCAAAATAAACCCAAAACTTAAAAGACTGTAAAGCAAACAAAATTGCAACCTAATAAATGAAATCAAATAATTATAAGGACCTTGAATTTGGTGAGTGCGTTGGCTTCACGATCATTACAAAACACAGTTCGATGACCCGGTGCCTGCGGCTGGACCTTCCCTAGCCGGACTGTTCGAGAAGACGAAATATGATCCGCCGTCGGCGACGCGCCGCCTCCTCCTCCTCCACCACCCCCTAATCTAGATCCCCTCCATCCTGACATCCTCCTCTCCTTAAACTTTCTACGATCGCACCGGATCGAAACACCAAAAAAATTCAACAATTTTCAGATATTTCAAAGAAACTAAACTCAATTCAGCGGAATTTTACAATACGAAGTAATTAAAAAAAAAAAAATTAACTTGCTTCGTAATTTGGTGGTTGAGTGAATGGAGGGGTATTTTTCTCAATTCATTTGGAACCTCGTATTTATACGTTAATTTAATACGCGTAAAATATTTACCTCTACAGTATTTCCCCCCGAGCGTGATTTGGAGCGTGGGGGCATATGGCCGTGGAGTCGAAAAGGGTTTGTCTGATTTTTGGTGTTCACGTGTACGAAGGAGAGTGGGGGGTACTGACGCACAAAGCTTAACAGCCATTGGACGACCCGGCGTCGTCTGGTTAATAATCATGGTTTAACTGATTAAAAATTTATGTACTGTTGAAACTACTGGTTGTGAAATGTTTGACTTGGAGATTATGACTAGTTAGCAGAAAAAAATTATTCAAAGCTCCTCCTAGAATAATTTGCAATTAGAAGTTTCTTCTAAATCGGATCTAGACTAAGAATATAATATATTGTTATCAATAATTAGCTTAACTAAATTTTAGTCCTTTGACCCTATCACTTATAAATGCATAAAATGTTTAAAATTTGACGAGAAACAAAGAAAGTCTAGATTAACGAATATGATCAAGTGAACGAGTTCTTTCCGTGTCCAAGAGATATCAAATGATGTACGAGCCAACGAGCATCCTCAAGCCTATTGCTCAGGATCATGCCACGAATCTTCTCAAAAAAGTTGATTGGTAATACCTCTTGATTCACGTAATTAGTCTCGTGCTATTTATCATTAATAAATCATAACGTCGTGCCCCTAATTCAATGTTCAATTGAATTATGACGTTTTAATGTATTGAATAGTAAATTAAGAGATCTACTACCACATAAACGGGCAATGATTATTAGGGGACTTCCACCCTAATATAGGTTTTGAAGAAGTAAGTTTCATGTAGAATTATTTATTCAAATAATCCTCATTTGATTGTCGAAAAGTTGACACACTGTCACTAATCAATGAACTTGAATGCTTTAGCCTAGTTTTCAAAAATGGAAAAAATCTTCCAACTATCAATAAGATCAAAATCAATTCAATGTAACTACTTAAATATGTAACAGAACCTTGAATTTTATTCCTGGAACCTTCAGCTGTCAGTGCTTCCAATTTGCAAAATGTATGAAACTGACAAAGATATACAAGCATATATCTATACAAAACATTCAACAATTCTATAAAAAAAGATTTTGGCTAATTTTTATTATCTAAAATTGTCCGAAATTGTACAATTGACTACGAAACAGACGGAACAATTATTTTTTTCATTCCGAACAAAGAAAATGAAGGATGTTACCCATCTTTTTCTTACAGGTAGGGAGAATATTCCAATACGAAAGCTCAAACCAGATAGAAATGGATATAAAATATATTTCTGATTCAAGAAATGAGTATAATTCTGCAGTTAATGAAGTTTTCTCAATGCTTTTATAGGCAATTAATAAGAATTATTAAGTCATGATGTTCTTTCAAACCCGCTGCCAATCTGCATATGTAGCCATTCTGGCGATGCACCCCTATTGTATTCCCTCGCGGCTTGTGAGCCAAATGTCATGCCCAGAGAATCAAAAGTTTGCTGCGCAAACTGCAAAATGAAAACACGTTTCAGCATTTACAGGTTGTAAAAGTCGGATGTATACATTAAAGAAATTTTATAGAAGTACATCACCCCTTTCCTAATTTCTTTGTCAGGTTTTCAATTATATGATCTGAATTCTGAAACTTTCCTTCTCCATTCGAGTTTTTATTTTGCTATTACGTATAATTTCTGGGAAAAAGAAGCTACTACTAGTCCTAGGAAACGATGCCGTCTCAGTTGAACATTTTTGTCCCAAGAAAAGTTGGCAACCTCAAATAGTCCACGGCTGCGTCCAACTATGCTTCTGTAGTTGACTAGTTTCACACTGAACAAGTTTTTATGATAATAATGCTGAATGACAGTAGTAAAACCTAACATGGAGAAACAATCTTCTCGACTTAAAACAAAAAACAAAAAAAACAATCACCCCTCAATGGATTTAGCTGGGCGTAATTACTGACCGAAATTGAAAGCAACCAAAATTCAATGAAATTTGAGAAAATGGCAATAATGTTTTCCAGAACTTACTTCTTTCAAAGGAAATCCTTCAATTCCAGGGTTTACTCTTTCATTTACTGCTTCAAGCTTCATAGAGAGAAACTGAGAGACAAACCATCCATAATTATTTGTTCATTAGTTTATATTTTCCAGTGGATAATCCGAAATAAAGAGAAGCAGCATTCGCACCACACACGTCAAAAGGGAGGAGGAGGAGGAGGAGGAGGAAACAGAGATACATACCTCAACTTGACGTTGTAAAGACTGTATATAATTAATTATTTCATCAAGGACTAGTGATTTGCCAATAACCTGAATCCAAATAAACCCCTCTTAAGATTTCTTTACAAAAATTTACCAGGCATCGAAAAACTGAAAATTTTACATGTAAAAAATGAACAAAATATATAATCTGGCTTCTGTACTGAAACCTAAATCTCAGAGAATTACTAGAATGAGAAATTCACAGAATACGTGACTTTCATAATAATTGTCCCAAATAAAGGAAGAGCATAATATTCCTTTGCAACATGGCAAGAGGACCACTACCATGTAGGCTCAAACCGTTAAAAAGTGCAAAACAAAATCAAAGAAGAATTAGTTGGTTGATAACGATCTCGCCAATCAAAAGCTCACGTCGATGGAAGGTGCTTGAAACAAAAATCCTCACCATCAGCAAGTGTTGCGTACAGGGGCCATCAAAGGTCTAATTTGCCCTTAATTTTTGGGATAATTGCAGCTGCGGTTCCAAACATTTTTCTTTTTTGCAAACTTTACATCAACCTTCACTTTGTGTCTTACACAGCCCCAAACCTTTCATATTGTTGCAGTACAAGTACAAATGGACGGATTCCGTCCGTATGACCGTTAGTTGACCAAAATTTTTTTTTTTACTCTTTTGACAAATTTAAAAAGAGCAAATTTGAAATTTTATAATTACTTATCCCTAAAATAATTAAAACAATATAAAAATCAAAAAAGAAATAAAAAGAAAAGTTATCTTCCCCACCCCACCCCACCCCACCCCACGCCACGTCACGTCACCTCACCTCACCCTACCCTAACCTAACCCCAAAACCAAATCTGAAACAAAATAACCGCCGCAAAAAAGGTCGAGGCGCGCTACTTGGCCGAACTGGAACAGAAGGAGCTCGAGAAGTGCATGAAAAAGGTCAATAAGAAGGCAAATCGAGTATCTATCCCTGTGCCAAAGGTGACGAAGGCGGAGCTGCAGCGGTAAAGGGAGCTGGATCAGGTCGCTCTGCTAAAGTGGATCAAGGAGAAGTGGAAACAAAGCCGTACAGCTGCGGAGGAAGAGTATGAAAGGATGGTACTAGTTGCGAACACAAATCGCGATGACTCAATTATTGAGGCCAGGACCGTGGAAGAGGCGATAGCACAGATTGCGGTGACGGATACGCTACCGTAACGGGTGGTAGGAAGTGGTGGCTATATTCTTTCAGATTTGGTTTTGGGGTTAGGGTAGGGTGGGGTGGGGTGGGGTGGGGTGGATAACTTTTCTTTTTATTTCTTTTTTGGTTTTTATATTGTTTTAATTATTTTAGGGATAAGTAATTATAAAGTTACAAATTTGCCCTTTTTAAATTTGTCAAAAGAGTAAAAAGAAAAAAAAATTTGGTCAACTAACGGCCATACAGACAGAATCCGTCCATTTGTACTTGTGCTGCAACAATATGAAAGGTTTGGGACTGTGAATGGCACAAAGTGAAGGTTGAGGTAAAGTTTGCAAAAAAAAAAAAGGTTTGGGACCGCAGCTACAATTAACCCTTAATTTTTCCTATAAATACTTTATGCAACATGAAGGAGAAAATATGAAATCTAACCCCTAGCCAAATCTCTGTTCATTTTGTTTCTCTAGCACTTACATTATCTTTCAGGCACTAACTTGACTGTTGGAATGCTAATGGTGACCGGACCACTTCATGGATACCTTTGTAAACTCACAGTTCCTTGTGTGCAGGTTTAGGAACAGGTGGACAAAGACATGACTTGGATCTATTTATATCTTCATCTTACAAGATTTTGAGGTCAACACTCTTTATAATGAACATAAACACCTCCTTGCTTATTTTATTCTTATTTTTCCTATCCTCAAATGTTCAATCCTAAAACTTAAGATGATGGCAATCATTTGAAGTGTCAGATAAATAGTTAATGCAAATTAATGAATCTTCGAATAATCCTACTCTTGCTTTAGATAGTGATAAGATAACTGGGGACAAAGTGCAGGACACTGCAGAAATGGCAATATGGCCAAGACTCAGGTGCATGTATGAAAACATTTCATGATCCCACACGAACATTTTCTACTGTGAATAAAAAGCATGGAAGGCAATGAAAATGGATTTTCAAAATGTCAACTATAAAGGTGTCAAAATTACAAAAAATGGAGCCAGACTTTTTAAGTAAACACAGAAGATTTTCATCAAAATAAAATCGAAACAAGGCCAATAGCAGGTTTTTATTCTTCTCAAGTAAATATATGGCGCATCAAGGAATTCCTCAAGAAAATTGTTGAGATTAATTATATTCCAATAACTAATAGAACAGGGGAAAAAATCTCCAATTGCACAAGGGAAAATTTCATTCAAGTCGAATGATCAGTGTTACTTAAGGAAACAATAAAGTCGGGCCAATGTTATTACTCACTTTATTACAGCCAGGGACTAGATCTTGGAGAATTTTCATCCTCTCGTTTATTTTTTCCCTCCTTGCCTGCACAAAGGGGAAATTAAGAGAAGTCACTTGGCATCAATTTCCATGATAATATAATTACTTTCTTAGTTG